CCCCATATAACGTTACCTCCCGATATTCGGCGCTTTGTTGATTTAGCGACATTATTCAGCGGAATTGTTTAAAATTTTTGGATTTGAAGTAAGAAATGGATACTCTAGCCAATGAAAGAAAATTGTCTGTGCAGATCCACGCCTTCGTACAGCCCCCCTAGCTATTACCGGAATTGTTTAAAATTTGGTATTTGAAGTTCTTAATGGATACCACAGCCTTAGGACAGAAAATTTCTCTGTGCTGGACCACGTCTACGTACAGCCCCACATATAAGGAACCTCCCGATGTTCGGTATTTTGATAATTTTAGCGGCATTATTCACCAGAATTGTTTCAAATTTGTATTTAAAGTTCAAAATGGATACTACAGCCTAAGACAGGAGATTGTCTGTGCAGGTCCGCGTCTTCGTATAGCCCCCATATAACGATACCTCTCGATATTCGGTTTTTTGATAATTTTAGCGGCATTATTCACCGGAATTGTTTCAAATTTGGCATTTGAAGTTCGTAATGAATACTACAGCCTATTATAGAAAATTGTCTCTGCAGCTCCACGTCTTCGTATAGCTCCCATATAACGGTACCTGCCTATGATCGTTTTGGTTATACAAACCCTTTGTGGGGGAGGTACCAGAAGGAATGGTTCGATCTCTAACATCTTCATAACAGATCTTTTGTTGATGGAAATATTGAGATTTTTCAAGTATGAATGGAATCGGATGTTAATTTCACGTTTTATGAGCTTTATATTTATTCAAAATTTTGAGTCCTTGTGGGGAAGGTACCAGAAGGAGTGGGCCGATATATCCCATCCCATACTTTGAGATAATTAAAATATTGTAAGGTGTGAAATTTGAAGATAGTCTGATGCTTATTTCGGGTTTTATAATAGTTTTGGTTATTCAAAAGTTTGACTCTTTGTGTGGGAGGTACCAGAAGGAATGATCGATCTCTACCATTTTTATAAAAGATCTTGTGTTGATGGAAATATTGAATGGTGCCAAGTCTGAATGGAATCGGAATTGGAATTTCGCGCTTTATGAGCTTCACGGATATTCAATGTTTTGACCCTTTGTGGGGGATGTACCAAAAGGAGTGGACCTATATATTTCATCTTCACATCAGACCTTGGGTTAATAAAGATATTGTGATGTGTGAAATATGTATAAAGAGAACCGGATTTTGGATTTTATAATCATTTTGGTTATTCAAAACTTTGGCCTTTGTGGTGGAGGTACCAGAAGATTTTGTGTTGATAAAAATATTGACATGCACCAAGTCTGAATAGAATCGGATGTTAATTTCCCGTTTTATGAGCTTCATGAATATTCTAAATTTTGGCCCTTTGTGGGGGGTTACCAGAAGTAGTGTATATCCAAAGTGTTCGAACTGTACTAAATTTGGTACAATTTGGGCGAAGGGCTGGAATTGGAACATTGAAAATTTGGTGTAGAAAGTGGTTGAAATGTGTTAACTGTTAGACTTAAGATTTTAAGATTGTTTTGGAAATATGTGTATAAAAGGACGAAAAGTACTAAAGGGTACTGCATTTGGTATATGAGTGTGTCATAGGATTTCATCAGAATCAGAAAAATGTTATTAGAGTCTCTTTTTGTGAGGTGAGTTTGAGATATGTCGGTGGCTTTGGAAATATGTACCAAAAAACATACGAAAAGTACTAAATTTGTGTATTCCATATAAAATCCAGGTTTTAGGCCCTGACAAAAATTTTCCATAAAAAGCTCTTATTGTGGCTCCTGATAGTCCTGGGAAAATATTCCCAAAAATTTCATGTTTTGGACACTTTAAAAAATCTTAAAAATTCACGTTTGGTCCCTAAATGTCTTTGAAAAAATATTCTTCAAAACAAGAGGTGGCGCCCAACTTGTACGCCTACTAAAGGTTTGTGCGCAAAATATGTTATTAAAAAACCGATAGAGCTTGAAAAAATATAGTCCTTGTTGTGACAGTCCTTGGCCCTTGGTAGACCTTGGAAAATATTCTTTAAAAAACAACATCTTGGTCTTTAAAAATATGTTGACCTATTATTATTAAGAAATCTAAGTTTTGACCTTGATAGTCCTATAAAAATATTTTTAAGAATATCGACCTTTTGGCCGCTGATATTCTTTGAAAAATCCACGTTTTGATTCTTAATAGTCCTAAAAAATATTCTTTTAAAATATTCGTAGTGGTCCCCTATAGTCCTTTAAAATAATCCAGTTTTTGGCTCCAAATAATCCTTTAAATATATTTTAAAATATCTCCCAGTTTTGGTTTTCGATAGTGCTTTACCAAAATATATTCCTTAAAAATCCACTATTTGGACCCCGGTAGATTTTTTAATTTTCTTAAAAATTCATAGGTTAGCATTTGATAGTCCTCTCATTTTTTTAATAAAAATCCATTTTTTTTGTATATAAATATATTTTATTTTCTTGTTCCATTACAATCACTATGGGCCGGTGATGATGACGATGATTTACAACAAAACAAACATGAAGGACGTAATAAAAAAATTCGATATCTTAAAAACAACAGAAAAAAAATAAAATTAAACTAAAAAACTGGGAAAACGTATGTTTTTCACAACAGGATCGGGGAGAACTCCATCGCTCTCCCTAGCTGCCTAGGCATCGACATGGGTCTTGAGCAGACCCATGAGCGATAGACGATCTGCCAGACGCGATTTCATATCCTGAACGTTGCGACCAATCCATTGAATGTTAAAGTTGATGGTCTCATAGGCAGATTGGACACTCTTCTCGGCCTTCTTGAAGTACTCCTTGTTCGAGTCAATGAGTTGGGTGATTTTCTCGAAGTCTTCGGTGGAAATGATTTGACTCGAAAGCGAGGATAACAGACGGCCAAGATCGGTGGATTGAGGACCAAAGCTGGAAAATTAAAGAAAATTATTTTTAGTTTTAGTTTAGGAAGTTTTCTTCTTCCTTGACTTACAAATCATGTAGAGCGGCAAGATTCTGGGCAAAATAGTCCCGGGCAATGGGGGCACCCACTTCACTGCGGGCTATGGAACTAAAGGCAAATGTCACATCCTGGGTACGAATATACTCGGCCTTATCGAATGTCAAATCGATATAATCGCGAAGGACCTTCTCATTGCGTGAACATCCCAGCGAGACAATGATGGTTCTCTTTTCGGTGGCCACATTTGAGGCCCGATAACGTTGCCACAAGAATTGCCAATCGTCCTTGTCCCCATGACGTATGGCCGTACAATAAACGGTGGGTCTCAAATCGGCTGGTATTTGATTTTCTTCATCGGGATTTTTGGTTTGTTTCCATTGTTGGAAGTAGTTCACAGCTGTCTGCACACAATCCTCCAATTCAATGCGGCATGCCCAACCGGTGACCAGGGATTTGAGTAAGATGCCCGAATGGGTTTTGGTGGCTTCGAGGGAATTATTCAGACCCTCAACATGATAGTAGATGGGTTCGATGATGTATCGCAAATAAGTCTGCCAAGAAGGAATGAGAGGGGATGTTAGTAAATGATTAGTCATTTGTAAATAATTAGTGGAAGTTTTTAAATATATTCCAGAAGGCTACCATTGCTCCAATTTAGGTTTTTTCGGAATAGTAAAGGACTTTCAAAGTGGTTTTGATTTTTAAATTTGGTTATTGGGTGATGTAGGTGATTAAAACAGACAACCCCCCCCCCCCAAGAATCTAATCCTGTTTACAAGAAACGAGCTAAGATGTGGCGCCCAACGTGTAAACCCACTACACGTTAAACTTGGATTGTAGCGTCTGGTTAGAAGATATGATGTGTTATGGGCCCTGAAAGTTTTGAAAATTGTTTGACCCATTCGGGTTCTACAAAAATGTTCTTAAAAACATTATTCTCTTGGTCTTCGAAAAAAAACTATTTTAAAATATTCTTAAAAAATAAGTTTTGTCTTCTGATAGTCCTTGAAACTACTTTTAAAAAATCACGTTTTGCTCTTTGAAAGTATTCTTTTGGTTTCTGATAGTCCTTGAAACTATTTTCAAAAAAAATCACGTTCCTTGAAAGTATTCTTTAAACATCCAACAGGTGGCGCCCAACATGTTTACACACACTAAACATTAAAAACTTGTGCTGAGACGTCTAGTTAGGACCCTTTCGGGTCCATATACATATTCTTAAAAATTCAAGCATTATTCACTTGGTCTTTGAAAAAAATATTTAAAAAATAGCTTTTTCTGATTTCTGAAAAAATACATTTCAGCTCCTGATAGACCTTGAAACTGTTCTCAAAAAATAACGTTTTGGTTCCTGACAGTCCTCGAAAAATATTTATTACAAAAATCAAGTTTTGCTTCCTAATAGTCCTTGAAAAATATTCTTAAAAAATATTTAAAAATCTAACAGGTGGCGCCCAACGTGAACACACACTAAGCGTTAAAAACCTAAAATGAAGCGCCAGCTTAGCCATAAAAGGCAATACTTCCTTACAGTCCTTGAAAAATATTCTTTAAAAATCTAACAAGTGGCGCCCAACGTGTACGCCTACTAAACATTTAAAACTTGCTAGTGCTTTAAGAAATATTCCTGCAAAGTCCACATTTTGACCCCTGAATGTCATTGAAAATATGTTCTTGAAAACCACGTTTCCTTTCCTGAGGGAACTTGAAAAATTATAGTCCTTGTCCTTATAGTTCTTGGTCCTTGATAGGCTTTGGAAAAATATTTTTAAATATAAAGCCCACCTTTTGGTCTCTATAGTTCTTAGAAATTATTCTAAAAACACCACGCTTTAGTCCCTGATAACCCTTGAAAAATATTCCTTAAAAAAAAAACGTTTTAATCCTTGATATACCTTGAGAAGTATTTTTAACAAAATAAAAATTTGGTCCCTGATAGTCCTTGAAAAATATTCTTATAAAATTATATAATTATAACAATTTGGCCCCTGATAGTCCTTCAAAAAATTTCTCCCTGATAGTCCTTGAAAAATACGTTAAAAAATCCACTTTTTTGTCAGTGATGGTCATTGACAAATATTCCCTAAAATATCACGTTTTGGTCTCTGATAGTCCTTGAAAAAATCTTCTTGAAAATCTTAAGTCTTGGCCACTAAAAATTCTTCTTTAAAATTTCAGGTTCTGGTCCCTAATAGTCCTATAAATACCCATAAAAATCCAAAAAGTATTCTTAAAAAAAATAAATTTTGGTCCCTGATAGTCATCAAAACTATTCCTATAAAAACCAACATTTGGCCCTTGATAGTCCTTCAAAAAATTGTTACCTGATAGTCCTTGAAAAATACGTAAAAAAATTACTTCTTTGTCAGTGATAGTCCTTTACATGTATTCCCTAAAATATCACGTTTTGGTCCCTGATAGACCTTGAAAAAATCTTCTTGAAAATTTTAGGTTTTAGTCCCTAAAAATCCTTCTTAAAAATTGCAGGTTCTGGTCCCTAATAGTCCTTAAAATCCCCTTAAAAATCAACTATTTTGATAGTTCTTGAAAAATATTTTTAAAAACTCCAAGTTAGGAAACCTTGAAAATAATATTTTTAGAAAATCGAAAATGTGGCGCCCAACGCGTAAACCTACAATACATTAAAAATTGGGCTGATGCGCCAGTTAGCAGCCATTGTGTTACTTTAACTATCCAATTAATGACAATGGCACCTGATAGCCCTTGAAAATTTCTTTTAAAAAATCCAATTTTGTAATGGTCCTCAATCTACATTTCATTCTCTGATGGTCGTTGAAAAAATGTTTTTAAAAAATTCGCTTTTCCTCGGGATCGAACTTGGAAAATACTCTTAAATTTTACCTCTAAAAAATATTCTTACAAAATCTCAAAAATGGCGCCCAACGTATACATCTAAAAAACGTTAAAAATTTTACTGAAGAGCTAGGTTGCAGCCTTAAATATACCATTAATGACAATGACAACAATGACCTTGAAAAATTCTCTTTAAAAAAATCAAACTTTTAATAATCATTAATCCTTGTTTCATCCCTTGATAGTCCTTGAAAACATGTTTTCAAAAACTTCATTTTCCATCTAATAGACCTTGAAAAAATAATTTACAATACTCCCTATTTCCACCCCTGATAACCTGTAAAAAATATTCTTACAATATCTCAAAAAATGGCGCTCAACGTGTTCTCCTAATTAACGTTAACATCTTGGGCTGTAATGCCAGTTAATAGTTATTGTTCTGCTCTTAATATGTCATAGATATGACAATGAGAATATTACTCAGAGAATCTCCAGGCATTAAAAAGGAGCAAAAATCTGCGACATTTCTTTATTCTCTCCGCTTAATTTTAATATTCTCTTAACTCTAAAGCCCGATGATTTCTTCGGCAGCGACAAATTTGAGAGCAATTCTCATTCTCTCGATGAACATTGCATCATGACGACTGCTCGACGTAGAGTAAATGGTCTTTGTTCCATATATGTTGTTTTTTACTCTCTTCATTCTCTCACTAATAGCTCGTTGACAAAACCTGACCTAACCCCTAAATTTTGTTTTTGACTTTTTTGTAGATTTTCTTGAAAATGAAGTACCAATGCCCTACAGAATTACAATAGAATAATCCCCTCTCCCTCATACTCACCTTAAAATAGTCATGTTGTTCCGTGAATGGCCTCAACAATCTTATGACACTACTCAAACCATCCAACGCCGCTTTCCATGGCAAATACTCGCGTTCCTTGGTCAAATATTCCAAAACATCAAAGGTTATGTCATAATCATGATAACCACTCCAGGCAAAGGAGATGACGTCATCGATCAAATGGGCCCGATTCATGACATTGATGCTACTGAATTTATCACTGTTCAGGGTGGCATTCAATAGACGCCAATTATCCATGTCGTACATGACACGATACACTCCGGACAATTGGATGTTGAAAATAATCCAATCCTGGGGACCGACAACATTTTCCAATTTCAAGGGCACACTCTTGCCCGATTCATCACATTCCATCCATACCTTGGGCGAGGTATTCTCGAAATCCAATTCATTAGGTGTGGTATAGCTGAGTGGAACCCACCAACACTTCTTGGCCTCCTCATCGGAAATGGTGTTATTTTCCAAATATCTGTGCTGGCTGATTTCAATTGCCCCCGTCTCATAGTTACGATTAACCCTCACCAATGGATAACCGGTCTGTAGGGTCCAGGAGTCCATAATCACTTTCATATCATATTTCGGTTCAATGCGATTGAATTTGTGGGCCTTTTCGGTAAAGGCAGCCCAAAGGTCATCCTGTTCGGCATTTCCATATTTATGTTTCATCAAATAATCGCGCACACCCTCAAAGAAACCATCCTGGCCCAGCAACATGTGCAACATTCTCAAAACAGCCGATCCCTTTTTGTAGGAAATCGAATCGAATCGCTCTCCAATTTGGCTGGTATTCAAAATTGGTTGGGAGATTGGATGGGACGACAGCTGGGCATCACGACGGAATATGGAGAGGGAATTATCCAAGGAATCCGCATTATATGAATCCCATTCGGGATTTAAATTCTTCAGACCCAAACTGGCAATGTAGGTGGCAAAACCTTCATTCAACCACAAATCTGTCCACCATTTCATGGTCACCAGGTTGCCAAACCATTGATGAGCCAATTCGTGGGCAATCACCTCGGCAATACGTTGTTTATTCGATTCGGACGAAACATTGGGTGCAAACAGCAAGGCCGTCTCCCGATATGTTACCAAACCCCAATTTTCCATGGCGCCAGCACTGAAATCAGGTATAGCAATCTCATCGACCTTCTTCAATGGAAAGGGAATACCGAAAACTTCTTCGTAATATTGCAAGACATTTGGACCAACTTCCGCCGCATAGTCACATTGATTGATGTAATCACCACGGGCCCAGGTACGGAAGACAACATCGGAACCCTCCACCTTGGATTCCTTGTATTTGAAATCATTGACAGTGTAGGCCACAAGGTAAGTGGACATGGGTACGGATTCCTCAAAGACACTCCAAATGAAATCGGTGAGGCCATTTCTGCAAAGAGGGAGGAGGAGAAATGAAAAACCAGGAGGATATTGTTTAAGGACAAATAGAAGAAAAATTTTGAAATATTTTGAGAGACCTATTATTTAAGGGCCATCAGGATAAAATGATAATCAGTCCACAAAACGTATTTTAAGACATTTTTTCAAAGACTCAAATAACACAAAACTTGGATTTTTTAAGGACATTTCTTCAAGGATCGACCGTCCAACCAATCTTTGTTTTTTAAATATATTTTCAAGGACTAAAACGTAGATTAAGGATATTTCTTCAAGGATCCACAGTCCAACCGAACTTATTTTTTTATAAAAATATATTTTCAAGGACTAAAACATAGATTTTCATAGAATAATTTTCCAGAACAAAAATTAGAATTTTTTAGGAATATTTTTTCAAGGACAAAAACTCCGATTTTTAGGGACCAAAATTTGATTTTTTTACAATTTTTTAAGGACCAAACGAAGTTATTATGAATATATTACTAAGGACTAAAACTTGCATTCTTACGAATACTTTTTCAAGAACTTGGAGCACCAAAACTTGGATTTTAGGATATATATTTTTTTAAGGATTAAATCTTGGATTTATTAGGACACATGCTAAGATTATTTTTCTAAGGGCTAAAACTTGGATTTTTAAGGATATTTCCCAAGGACCAAAAAGTGATTTTTGATGATTTTTTTTGATTTTCTAAGAACCCAAATGTGGACTTAATAGAACATTTTGAAGGATCAAAACTTGGATTTTTTGTGAATCAAATTGATTTTGCATTGCATGTTTTTATGTTGGGCGCCATGTGACATGAAAATTGAATAGAAACTAGAAAAGTAATTTTTTCAGGGACCAAGGTTAATATCTCATTTCATGCAGGTGGCTTGTATTTTGAAAATTTACGTTGGGCGCCAATTTATTTGAAAAATTTCAAAAAACACCTTGATTGATAATTGAAAAATTCAAAAGTATTTTCCAAGGACCAAAAAGAGTTTTTTGGACATTTCTTGACAAAGAAATTTTCTTAGAACCCAAATGAGGATTTTTAAGAACATTTTGAAGGATCCAAATATGAGTTAAAGAATACTTTACCACGACCAATTTTTTAAGAATATTTAATAAGGACGAAAGATTTAATCTTTAAAAATATTTTTCAAGAGTCCAAACTTGAAGTTTTAGGGGTCAAACGTCGACGAAACGTGAATTTTTTAGGAATACTTTTTTAGGATCAATACTTTTATTTTTGGGGACCAATACGTGTTTTTTAAGAATATTTTTTAAGGAATAAAACTTAAAATTTTAAGTATATTTTCCAAGGACAAAAATGTGTTATAGGAATAATTTCCAAAAACTAAAGAGTGGACATTTTAGAAATTTTTTTCAAGGATACAAACTTGGAGTATTCAAGGGCCAAACATGTTTTTTTTTTTTTTGAATATCTTTTCAAGTGGCCAAACTTGGATTTTTAGGGGTCAAGCGTCGATTTCTTGAGAATATTTTTTAAGAACGAAACGTGGATTTTTAGGAATATTTTTTAAAGATCAAAATTTGTATTTATGAGGACCAATAAGAGGATTTTTTAAGAATATTCCTTATGGCTAAACTTGGATTTTTAAAGATATTTTCCAAGGACCAAAAATTGTTTTTTTTTTAGATTATTTCCCAAGGACCAAAAAAATGGATCTTTCAAGAACATTGTTTCAAGGATCCAAACTTGCACTTTTTAAAGGTCAAAATGTTTTTTTTAAAGAACACTTTTCCAGTACCAAAACTTCAATTATTTAAAAATATTTTTAAGGACCAAATAGTGGATTTTAGGAATATATTTTAAAGTGACCAAACTTGGAACGTCGATTTTTAGAAATATTTTTCAAGGACGAAACGTTGATTATTTGGGGATATTTTTTTAAGGATCAAAATTTATATTTACTTGGAAAACTTGGATTTTTAGGGATATTTTCCAAGAACCAAAAAATGGATTTTAATAAATTGTTTTTCAAGGATCCAAACTTGGATTTTTTAAAAGTCAAACATGTTTTTTTAAAGAATATTTTTCCAAGACCAAAACTGCAATTTTTGAAGAAAATTTTTAAGGACCAAAGATTGGTTTTTATTAACATTTTTTCAAGTGTCCAAACTCGAAGTTTTAAGGGCCAAACGTCGATTTTTAAGCGTATTTTTCAAGGACGAAACGTTGATTACTTGGGAATATTTTTTAGGGATCAAAACTTGTATTTACTTGGAAAACTTGGAATTTTAAGGATATTTTCCAAGGACCAAAAAGAGTTTCTTTATTTTCCTAAAACAAAAAAAATGGATTTTAAGAACATTTTTTCAAGGATCCAAACTTGGATTTTTTTTGAGGGCCAAATATGGTTTTTTTAGAGAACATTACTTTAATTTTTTAAGAACGTTTTGTTAAGGACCAAAAAGTGGATTTTTAGGAATATTTTGTCAAGGGCCCAGACTTGATTTTATGGGTCAAACATTGAGTTTTTGCGATTATTTTTCACGGACAAAACGAGGATTTTTTACGAACGGAAACGTAGATTTTTTAAGAAAGAATTTAAGATCCGAAACGTAGATTTGTTTCAAGAAAAAATGTCAAGGATCTTGGTTGAGATGAAAAAACTGCAACCAACTTCAGATTGCTGTCATTTCTAAGCCACTGGACCGACAGCTGTTAAAATTATTCCAGTGACAGCACATTATATTGTTTACAAGAGTACAAAAGCGATTTGGTGAGAATTTTCCAGGAAAAAAGTTATTCGTGATGCGTGATTCAAGCGTGTTAGTGTGATTTATTTATATTTGGCTGGAAAACCACAAGTGGCTATCGTTAGATCACTCCAGCATTTAAATGTGAATACATCTTTTGTGACTCGTACCATCGCTCGTTACCGTGATACTGGTAGCGTAGTCCGACATTAAGGCAGTGGACGGAAGAAAACAGCAACATCAGCAGAAATGACTCGAAAAGTAAAGAAACGACTTGATCGAAACCCTCCGCGTCGCAGTGGCCGAAAAATGGCTCGTGAGCTGAACACATCGCAATATTACATTCGGCATTCAGCAAATATTGAAGAATGAGCTCGGGGTAAGGTCATTGAAATTCCAAAAAGTGCAAGAACTTACACCGCAACAGAAAGAAAATAGACTCAAAAAAGCTAAAGAGTTGCTTCGCTTGGCCGAAAGTGGTGAACTGCCGAATTTGGTTTTCTCCGATGAGTTTGTAAACAAACAAAATGATCGTGTTTACTTGCCAAAGAGGTCAGCTAAAAATGTGCACCTTCGTTTGGCTACCAGAACTCAAACACCGGCCATGGTGATGGTGTGGGCCGCCATAACAGCCGATGATCGCTCTCCGCTCATATTAAACGACCCTGGCATCAGAATATTATCACGAAAATATTCTCTAGGGTGTATTAAATCCTTGAGCACGCAAAAATTTTGGCCGCAGACATTCCAACAGGACTCAGCACCATCTAAAAATGTGCACCATAACTCAAACGCCGGCCATGGTGATGGTGTGGCCCGCCATAACAACCGATGGCCGCTCTCCGTTAATTGACCGTGGCATCAGTACAAATGCCGAATATTATCGCGAAAATATTCTGAAGAGTGTATTAAAGCCTTAGGCACGCAAACATTTTGGCCGCATACCTTGGACATTCCAACAGGACTCAGCATCATCCTCGCTTTATTTCCAGCGCATAATGGCCACCAAAATCTCAGCATGTCTGGAGTATTTTGGAAAGCAAGGTTGGCACTAAAAAATACCAAAGTGTCGATCGCCTCAAGCAAGCGCTTCGCCGGGAATGGGCCAAAATACCGCAGAGCAACATTAGGACAGCGTGTGACGGTTTCATTGGCCGTTTGAAGACCATAATTCGTGCCAAAGGTGACCAATTCGAACAAATGTAAACTTATCCTAAAATTTGATGCAATTTCCGACATTTTTGGCTTCGTTCAATGAAATTTAAAACCAATGTAAAAACTATGGCGTTTGACTTTATTGCAGTTTTTTTATCTCACCTATAGACGTGGATTTTTAAAAACATTTTTTGAAGGACCAAACATAGTTCTTTTAAAGAATATTTTTCCAAGACCACAACTTCAAATTTTAAGAATATTTTTAAGGACTAAAGAGTGGATTTTAGGAATATTTTGTCAAGTGGATAAACTTGGATTTTTTCAAACTTCGAGTTTTTTTTGAGAGTATTTTTCAAAGTCGAAAAGTAGATTTTGACCGAAATGTAGATTTTTTAAAAAAAATTTTCAAATCCGAAACGTGTTTTTTTGAGAAAAATATTTTTGAACATTTTTTCTAGGACCATCAGGATCAGGGTATCAAATGTAGAATTTATAAGAATAATTTTAAAGGACCTTTAGAGTCCTTAAGTTGTAAGTTTAGGAACACTTTTTCAGATACCGTCAGAGGTCATAAATTTGCATTTTTTTAATATTCTCTACACGAATCAGCCAAATATTGACTTTTTAAGATTTTTTCCAGGAACTAGAGACCAGAGAACTTTGATTTTTAAGTGATTCTTTAAAAAATGTGGATTTTTTAAGAATATTCTTCCAGGACCATCAGGCTCTTAAATGTAGATTTTATAATAATACTTTTAAAGGACTTTTAGAGCCCTTAACTTGTAAGTTTAGGAACACTTTTTCAGATACCGTCAGAGGTCATAAATTACGTTTTTTAGAATATATTTTTTTCAAAGGACTAACAAACCCAGCCAAAAAGGATTGTTTAAGATTTTTTGCCGGAACCTAGAGACAAGAAAACTTTGATTTTTAAGTGATTTTTAGGACTAATCAAACGTGGATTTTTTTAAGAACATTCTTCCAGGACCATCAGAGTCTAAACGTAGATTTATAAAATATTTTTAAAGGACCATTGGAGGCCTTTACTTGTATGTTTAGGAAAACTTTTTCAGATACCGTCAGAGGCCACAAAATTTGCATTTTTTTAGAATATTTTTCAAGGACCAATAGACCAACCAAAAAATGGGGTTTTTAAGACCTAGAAACTAAAAAAATTTTAATGTAATTTTTTTAAGAACTGACCAAACATAGATTTTTTAAGAATATATTTTAAGAATCATCTGGGTCTAAAATTTAGATTTTGTGGGAATATTTTTACGGGGCCATTAGAAGCTTTAACTTATAAGTTTAGAAATAATTTGTCAGACACCGTCAGAGGCTATAAATTTGAATTTTTTGGAATATTTTTTCAAGGACCAACAGACCTACCAAATATTGATTTTTTAAGATTTTTTTTCAGGATTTTTTTAAGAAAAATTTATTGAGAACTATTAGAGGCCTAAACCTGGATTTTGTTAAAAAGTTTCTTTTAATGACCATTGGGCGCCAACACGTCGGGTTTTTTTAACTTTTCAAGGATAGTAATTTTTTATTGAAACTTACACCGGCATCTGCTTCTCCAAGGGCATATTGCTCAAAGCCGTTAAGGACTTGTGATGTCCCATCCATATAATGAATTTCGCCTTATAATTGGGTTCATCGAAACAGGGGAAGGCTGCACGGGCCGAGGCCGGTTCAAATTGAGTCACCGAAAGCCATCTGAAATACAAAAATACAAAAAAAAAATTGAAAAACCTACGACTCAATTCTCCCATTTAATGCCCCTCACCTGGTCTCATTGGTCTCCTTGGCCACATACGAGCTGCGATAGTAGCCATGCAGTTTTTCACTCAGTATTCCCGAGAAATACAACTTCAATTTATACATTTGACCCTTTTCGAGAGGCTGACACAGACGTATAATATAATAGTCCTGTTCGGCAACGGTTTGAACGGACTCCTTGCACAGACGGTACTTCTTATCGCCATAACTCTTAAGTTGAATGCGATTCTCATCGATGGTTAAGTTTTGAGCATGCAACGTAATGTTGTTTGTCTCCTCCAGGACATTGAAACGTATCGAAACTTGTCCATTGAAGGTTAGGTTGGCCGGATTTTCCAAATGTGTTATAACTTTGAGTTTATAACGATCCGGTTTAATGGCTGTCGGCAGGCGATAATGGGTGTAGGCATTTGTCAAAGCCAGCATGGCCATGAGCGAAATGCCCAATGTTAGCCATAGGCGATTTTCCATGGTATTGACGGTGGTGGGAAGTGTGTTGAGCGGGGCTGAAATGAAAAAGAAAGAAAAAGGTTTAGAGATTTGTATGTTAGATTGCTACGAATAAAACTCCAAGGAGAGTAAATTACGAAGATTTTTATGGCTTAGGAGCGTCACAGATATAGAATACTCAGATCCTCCGTAGAATAGAGTTGAAACTAGTATGGACAGCTTTTAAAACTAATATTCGGCTACATATCTGCTTAAAAAGTCCCAGTTAATATGGAGGAAACAACAAATAAGCATATTATTGGCGGATTCATAAAATCTTGATTTTCCTTTTTCTTGCTCCTCACCTGATTTGCCTAGCCTCCAAAAAATGTTCTAAGCCGGCTTAAGAACATTTATTTATTTATTTTTTTAATGGAAAACCTGAACATCAAACATTGACCTTAAACGTGTGACAAAAACCAGCTTTGATTTTCCTTAACTGTATCTGTGGTTGTTGTTGTTTAGAAAGAATAAGGAAAATCTAGTTCGAACCGCTTCTGACGTCGATGATGACAAAAATCTTGTTTTGCCAAGGCAAGATAAGTAAATTGTTTATTGTAAATGCGAATATTAGTCGTTGTAAAATTCCACTGAACTTTTAGAGGAAAACAACTGGGAATTGTAACAAAAAGTGTTGATTTAGTTCCACGTTTAGTAAATGGAAATTATAGACTATAATGTCGTCAATTAAATACTTTTTTTAAAAAAAAATTATGTATTTTTGAAAGGAATATGAATTCGTGGAATTTTATTTTTAAAAGGATTGATATTCGTGGATTTTTTTAATATTTTTCAAGTCGTGGATTTAAAAAAAAAAAATATATATATATATATATATATATATATATATATATATATATATATATATATATATATATATATATTTTTTTTTTTTTTTTTAAAGAACTATCACACTATCGACCTTTTCCATGTCGTAAATATTTTAAGTGTATTTTTCTGATGTTGGATTCTTAAAATATATTTTTCAAAGCACTATCATGTTGTGGATTTTAAAGAAACCTTTTTTTAAATGACCCTTACAGAGTGTTTTTTTTTTTTTTAATATTTTTTCAATGCACTGCGACGTTGAGGATTTTTAATAACTATTTTTTCAAAATATTATTTTATCTGGGATTTCTTCTAAATATTTTTAAAAGACTATTTCGACGTAGTTTTTATAAAACACTTTTTAAAGGACTCTTAGAAAGCGGATTTTTTTTTTAATTTTATTTTAAATAACTGTGACCTTGAGTATTTTTAAAAAATAACTTTTCAAAAAATTAATTCATCCGGGATCTTTTTTTAATATTTTTAAGGGCTATTATATTAAATAAAAGCAAATTTGCATTGCATGTTTAAAAAAAAGTTGAAAATATTGAGATGATTAATTTGTTGAAAAATACTGACACAAGAAAATAATTATAAAGCATTTTTACCCTAGAAATGTTAAATATTATAAACATACCCACCGATTGTAGAATAAACTATAAAATTGATACTGACCACTGTGCACACATTTATAGGAACTTAGTTCAAAAGCATAGACAGACACAAATTTAGTTTTGCATGGACAGTGAAAGAAACAAATGAACAAAATATATTTTGAACACTTACGTTGGGCGCCAAATTTTATTAGTAGTAAAATTCACACAAATTCCTCAATAAAAATAATTATCAGTGGAATTTTGCAAAGTTAAATGCTTACCAAAGTTTTGCTCCCAGCTACGTTAAAATTCACCTTGGGTGCCAATGTAGCATTAATGGAGGATAATTTAAAAAAAAATATTAAGTTATTTAATGAAGATGACTAAGAAACAAACTTAATTTCGTAGTGGTGAGCAAAAATTATTTGGGGAACTCCCGTTGGGCACCAAAGAGTTTTTGAAGTAAAAAATCACAATTTGTCAATAAAAACAAAAAGTAAAAAAGCATCGGTCGGTTTTGCCGACAGATGTATACCCTCAGCCAATGTTCGATTATTAAAAAATATTTTGACTACTGTTATGAGCTTTCAAACTCTTGACCCTCCATGGAGTGGGTTGTGATAGAATGGACCAATATTGCCTTTTCTGAGTTGTTTCGAAGTTTATGACAGATAAAAGTATTGAAAATTCGCAGATATATATCATCTTCACAACATATCATGTGTTAGCAAAAATGATTGTATGTGTGACATTTGAAGAGAGTTGGATGCTTATTTCGCTATCTTTGAGCGTTTTGTTTTTTCAAAATATTGAACCCTTTGTGGGGGAGGTACCAGAAAAATGGTCCGATATCTAAATTCTGTATAACAGATCTTGTGTTGATGGAAATATACATCCCAATATTTCTATCAACAGCCTAAATGGAATTGGATGTTTAGCGTTTTATGAGCTTCATGGATATTCAAAATTTGACCCTTTGTGGGAGAGGTACCAGAACGAGTGGACGGATATATTCCATCTTATCACCAAATCTTGGGTTTATAAAAATATTGGGATGTGTGAAATTTTAAGACTGTCGAATTCTTACATCACATTTTATAAGACTTCTAATTATTAAAAATTTTTACTCTTTGCAAAGTTGGAGCAAAATCGGATAATCGTTGCACAGAAAGAGCAAAAAAAAAATATTTTTGGTTTTTGAACATTTTGACCAATTGTGAGGGAGGTACAAGAAGGAGTGGACCCATATATATAACACCAGACCTTGGGTTAAAATAAATATTGGGATGTGTGGAACTTGAAGACAATCGGACTCTTACTTCACATTTTATGACAGTTGTAATTATTCAAAATTTTGACCCTTTGTGGAGGAGGTACTCGATGGAGTGGACCGACATTGTCCATTTTTACACCTGACGTAGCACTGACGCAAATATCAGAATTTGCAAAGTTGGAGCAAAATCAGATTATCCATTCTCTTTCTGTGCAAAAAATATTTTTGAAAATTTCGAACTTTTGTGGGGAAGGTACCAGAAGTAGTGGACCGATATATTCCATTTTCACACCAGACCTTGGGCTAAAAAGATTATTGGGATATGTGAAATTTGAAGACAATCGGACTCTTACTTCACATTTTATGACAGTTGTAATTATTCAAAATGTTTACCCTTTGTGTGGGAGGTACCTGATGGAGTGGACCGATATTGCCCATTTTCACACCTGACCTAGCACTGATGAAAATATTACGATTCGCAAAGTTGGAGCAAAATCAGATTATTCTTTCTCTTTTTGTGCAATAAATTATTTTCTTTGAAAATGTTGACATTTTGTGTGGGAGGTACCAAAAGGAGTAGGCCGATCTAAGTTTGACAATAATATTACGATGTATCAACTTTAGATCAAATCGGATACTCCCTTCGATAGTTATCGTGCGCACCAGTCAGCCAGACAGACGGACGGACTGAAATCGCTAGATCGACTCCAAATGATCTGAAACGGATTTGGTCCAAAGAGACCTAGGGTCTAAAACCGTTATTTCGACTAGACACGTTTGACCATATTAAATGATGTATACCCTCTGTAGACGGTATAATTATTATCAATTTATGAAAACCAAAGATAATGGCTTAATTTTACGTTGGGCGCCATGTGATTTGGAAAACCAGTCAAATCATAAAACAAAAAGATATAATTTATGTTTTTTTAAAGTTGCCTCTTAATTAACTGAGACAAAATGAAACGACACTTATGTGATTTATTTAAATTATGTAGATGTTTTGGTTTATTTTGTTTAAGTTTTCCCTGATATCTATAATAAAATAAAAAACTCATGAGAATGAAATATTTTTAATTCATCCACGAAGTGTTATATTCAAAATATTTTTTGAAAATAGCTTAGCGGTTGAAGAACATTAAGAAATCAAAATTTTGTAAGTCAGTGTTTTCATCATTAATAAAAAAATCGAAAGCCCATCAAACGTTTAGGCATTAATGATAATGAGATGTAAATTAACTACCGAATGCTGGTGATGGCTACAAAGAAGAAAGTATTTTTTTGTTGTTGTTACTTTTTTAAGATTTCGGCACAGACATAATTTATTGACTTTGACAAACAATTATAAGACGCGAGCGTATTGTATAATACAACAAATAAAAAAACACACACACAAATCCATAAACATGTCGATATAAAAATCAAAATTTATGTGCTAAATTATTTAACAATAACAATTGACACATTTTTAATGTTTTGTAAATATAAATAAATAAATAAATTCAACAACAAAATACTTAAAGTGCTTTTTGTTTTTTGTTCACAGCCGTAGGGTATAGTTAGACATGTTCGCTTTTAACCCAACCTCAAGCCATGTTTTGTGTTTTTTTGCAAATAAATTAATTTAAGATGATTTCAAGGGAACGTTTCTTGAAGTATGTAACTTGAAGCGTTTAAGGTTTTTATCACCTCCCCCATCGAGACGTTTAAAAATACAAATCATGTACAACACGCAACCGATAGATAGATAGCAATCTGTCAAATTACACACATTTGTATGGGAACACGGAGAATGGGGTTAAGATAGATTTGAGATTTGGGAGAAATTCATTTAATTACTGAGCACATGTGCAATTAAAATACTCATTGAGAGAAGAGAAAAAAAAACGAGTCACATAGTATCAGTCGGTTTTGCCGACAGATGTATACCCCCAGCCTTGACTTGGGAGTATTCAAACTGTTGACCCTTTATGGGGAGGTTCCGAAGCAGTTGGCCAATTCGTATCTGACCTGAGTCTAATAAAAATATTTCAACGTGCCAGATTTGGACTTTATCGGCTACTTCCTATACTTTATATGGGCCATTTGCAATTTTTTGGAAATATACAGGGTGATATAAAAAACATGTAACAAAGTCAAACGCCATCATTTTTACAGTTTTTTTTTTAATGTCATTGAATGAAAGCAAAAAATTTCGGAAATAGCATCAAATTTTAGAATAAATTTAGATTTGTTCGAATTGGTAACCTTTGGCATGAATTATGGCCTTCAAACGGCCAATGAAACCGTCAGAAGCTGCCCAAATGTAGCTCTGCGGTAT